AAATAATATCACTCAAAAAAATGATCAGTTGACCGCTAATCTGAAAAAGCTCACTCTCTACAACCGAAGGCAAGTATTACAAAAACACTGGAGTAGAGCTGTTACCTCTGGCATGATTTCGATTGAAATATCACTGTCAAGTTTTGCTTCTGAAATGTTGAACCCAGTAGGACTTTGATGAAAAGCACCCGGAATATCAATTAAAAAGCGCAAGGAAAGAACAGAGCGCACGAGGAAGAAAAGAACAGAGCTGAGGCGTCGGCTTCACTGATTGGTTGTACACATCCTTCTGCCCCCTTTGACCACAGGTTAAGTCATGGGAAGTGTGGGTGGCAACAGCAAGCAGAAGTAATTATTGTTCGGGGCCTTTTAATTTCAGTGGCATTTAAAATGATTAATCCTTTTCTAGAGCTCAGAGTACTTCATATTTTCATACTGCCCCCGAGGAGTCACTCATTTCTGAATAGGTCGTCTCTCTCTCTCTTGATTGCTCTCTGTACATTCAGACATTGGAGATGTAACGGCGGTGTTTGTTATTGACTGTGCGGATCATGCTTTACCCGAGTGGTCGGAAACCATCCGCTAATGGTCGCCATCTTCATTGTTGTTGGCCATTCAAAGCAATTCACATAATTAGGACAGCACATTCTACTATGACCTGCAATATTATGAAGACTGTTACAATAAAAAGATATATGCTAAGTAAATAACCTTTTTTCTTCACTATTGCCCCATGTGTCAAACTCAAATGAATTAATGCATTAAGATTTTGAAGCATGCAAACTGTTATCAATAATAATGAGCAGACAAAAGATAAAACAAAAGATAGAGAATAAGAACAAGACTAGCTGTCACTGGCTGGTTAACTGGCTTAAATTAGAATAATTTGTGTAAATTCTGTCCTCCTCCAAAAAAAATTTTTTTTCTCCCATAAGCACATTAATGTATGGGTAAACTATTTAAAGAAGCTTATAACTTGAACTATAACTTGAATTTCATAAACATCAGAGTATTTTATAATATTAGTGGTGTTTTATATGTTGCATTATATATTAATTTATATTAATTAATAATATAAATAAATATGCAAAATATTAATAATTTTATTACCTGCTATTTCTTAATTTGCTACTTCTGTCAAAATGTTAAAGGGATAGTTCATCCAAAAATGAAAATGCTGTCATCAATTGCTCACCCTCATGTTGTTCCAAACCTGTAAGACCTTTGTTCATCTTCAAAGAAGAAATTGTTGAATAAATGTGTTGTTTTTGTTTTCTTTGCGCACAAAAAGTATTCTTGTAGCTTCATAAAATTAAGGTTGAACCACTGATGTCACATGGGCTACTTTAATGATGTCCTCACTACCTTTCTGGGCCTTGAACATGGTAGTTGTGTTGCTGTCTGTGGGAGGGTCAGAAATAGGGCTGCACGATAAATCGAAATGGAATCGAGATCGCGATTCGACAGAAGCTGCGATTGTCATGCGTATCTTTCAGTGAAGCACGGTTCTGTGATCGGCAGTAAATCTCCATCCAAAGGCCAGAGGGCGCTCTCGCGCTGAAACTCCAAATACGCCTCGCAGAAGAAACCAAAGTGTAACAATGCAAACAGGTTTTCTGTAAAGGGGAGGTTTAAGGTTAGGTTAGGGTTATATATATATATATTAAAAGAGGGGTTAAACTCAGGGAAAACAAAAAGCTGAAGGGGCTGAAGAAGCTTTCAGTTTAGCCCAGCTGTAGTGGCAGGCAGAAGACGCTGGTAATAAATTGACAAATCCCAGCAGACATGTGGAGAAAGTCTGGCTCTCCCATGATCTCTCCAGTGTGGCAAATCAAAACCAAATTTCCTCCTGGGCAGCAGTAGACACGGACGAACAGATACCTGCGGCCACCTGGGCCTCACTCCTAAGACTTGGCCAAGACAATTTCCCTCAAATCACCTCTCTATCTTAATCTGACAGCCCTCCTCGATTAGGAGGTGTGAAAATTACTTCTCTACCCACCAGCTGTCGTTCTGAAATTATCTTAATTGTACCATGATTATGCCTCTAAGCTCCTATGAGAGCAACCGTTGCATCCGTTAAAAAGTACTAGCAAAGATGGGAAGACCTTCAAAGTGTAAGTGAACACCTTAGAAGAGCTGCAATCCACACACATACAAACACAGAGACAGGCTAGAGAAATACAGTGCTATACACTAGCTAGCAGATGCCTAACTATTTGACAAAACAAGGGCTTAGCACGTGTTCACCTGCGTATTTCGCTTAATATCAAAACATAAACAGTGCTAAACCTTGTATTTTCCGCAAATAAGCTCATTACCAAACTCAACAAACTTTGAATCAAAAGAGAATCTAGACACAACTACACAAAGTTGCAATTTGCAGACAAAACCATAGCGGTAAGTAAACGGTTCCATTAATTAATAATGCTTCTGTAAATATTTTGCTTTCTAAAACGTATGACAGCTTAAATGGCCTTGTACAGAAAGATAAAGGAGGGAAAGGAACTCACCACACAGTAACAACAACGTTGATGTTTGGAAAATAGTCCTGCTTGTATAATTAGTAGAGTCGTTGTCGTTTTTTCTTATTGTTTAATTCCAGTTGCTTGGCTGCCAGTAGTGGTTTACCGCTGGTAATGTTTTTTTTAGCATTTCGAGACTTCAATTTCAGACGTGATTTCAAATACATGATGTGTTCACGTGTGGAGAAGCTTCCACAGCAGGGCTTTACTTCAGTAACTAAAGGGAGAGTCAACTAGAGCCGGTTTTCTTCTTCTTCTCTTTTTCTGCTATAAAACTGTATCAGTGTAAAGACCGTTCATCGGAGAGGTCACAAACTTGGCAGGATGGTACCACACACCTCGCTTTTCAGACCGATGAGCTTTGTAAAAATCGATGCGTATCAGAAAGGCGGGGCATAGAGGAGAAGCAATAATGTACTGTACATTATTGTTTCTCCTATATGCCCCGCCTTTCTGATACGCGTCGATTTTTGTGGAAAATAATGTGTTTTTTTAACCTTAAACCGCATAAACACATTTCATTACACCAAATACACAAAATAATGTTATTTTTAGCAACATCATATGACCCCTTTAAAATTGCTTATTTCTCTGGATTTAAACATTCTTCGAAACATTTGGGATAATGTAAGTACACAAGTCAGCAAAATATATAACACTGTTCTAGTGGGTTTTGGATATTTTAATAAAAAAATCTTACATATTGTGCCTTTAATCCGAACTTCACAAATTTTTGCACATAGCAGCTAGCTAGGGATGGTTCTGGTATACCTATAGGTAGGGAGTTAGGTAAATAAATAAATCAAATGTTGATTAATTGAAGTGTTGCAAAGCTAAAAGAAGATAAAAACAGCAGACGAATTGAAATATATCTCCTGAACATAGTGCAGCGTTCAAACATACACATAGGCCACAGGACGCACTTAAACTTACGACAAAATTGCACCTATAGAGTACTACAACTAAAATTCCTTACTTATTCAAACCAGTTGTAACTGCTTCCAGGTAATAGAATTGGAATTAAACAATAATGGAAATATTCAAATTTCAGCAACTATAACATTAAATATTAATGGCCTATCATTGCAAAAATGGTGTGGATTTAAAAAGAAATAGTGTGGAAACAATTATTTGTACCAAATTATGTGAAAGTTGGCCACGAGGTGGCACTATAATAACTAAATTTAAATGTTTTGCTAATAAATACGCAACCGGGAGCAAATAAAGAAATATATATATAAAACCATAAGTTTACATCACATTTTTATGTTTACCTATAAAATTTACTCGCCTATCAGCAAAAAGCTAACTTTTCTTAAAGGTCTGGTGGTTTTGTGGGACAGTTATATCGCTCATAAAAGTATGAAGAACACATTACCACTGCTAAGATGATGCAAAAGAGTTTTTGCGTTGGCCGGGAATCGAACCCGGGTCAACTGCTTGGAAGGCAGCTATGCTAACCACTATACCACCAACGCACGTATTTCTAAGTGTTTTGCGTCTGTTTTTTTTTACATGTAATTCCGTGAAACATTCCCATTCCTCACTATTGTCATTTATTTCTTGTAGACTAATCGTAAAGTGCACACTAAAATAAAATCGTGGACCTTCCTTCGGTTTCTTCCTAAACACTTCAAAAAGAATGGGCTCGTCCGGGATTTGAACCCGGGACCTCTCGCACCCAAAGCGAGAATCATACCCCTAGACCAACGAGCCATACTAGCAATCGCTTTCGTATTGGTTTTGAATGATTTGTCGTGTATCATGTGTCTAGAAGTTCGGATTTGTTTGTTTTTTTATGTCATGTTTTAATAAAAACACTGTAACAGTATAATAAGCGTAACAGTATAATAAGCGTAAATACTGTAAGTGTACATTCATACAGGGGACACGGGGATTAAACTCACTGGGGAGCCTCTCTATAGCATTGATTAGAAATCTTCACGGAATGGCCGGTTAGCTCAGTTGGTTAGAGCGTGGTGCTAATAACGCCAAGGTCGCGGGTTCGATCCCCGTACGGGCCAACCTTAACTTTTGTCATTTATTTCTGTATAAATCAATTTGTGGCTATGCACAACTGAGTATAACTTTCTCAGCTGAAGTGTATTTTACCTTCTCTTTTGCCTTTTTGCAAATAAATACACAACTTCAAATTATTTTTTTCTTATGCCAAAGTATAATTCCTGCCTTGGTTTAATAGGTTATTAATAGCTTCATTGACCAGCTCAGGAGCTATACCTTCAGTTTAAATACTTTAATATATGGAGAAACATTCTTGTCCATTTCCTTAACGTGCATGATTTTGCAGGTGAAAATAACTGCAGTTTTCAGAAACACTCTATCAGCATTCCCTCGAAGGTCAAGAGGGTCTGATGCGGTCCTTCTATGAGAGCAATTCTAACTTATCCCATAAACACATCGTACATTATCAATGGTTTTTGTGAATGTGTAAGAAATCAGTATCGCCACAACAAGTGCAGATACATTTTCAATTTTTATTTTGCTTTTTGGACTGTTTATTTTCCAGTGTTATCCATTATCGTTTCCTTTGTCATTTTTGCATAATTCTTATAAGGCTTTTAAGAGGGCCATTGCTATGGATTCAGGCAAACCTGCATAGCAACTGGAAGACAAAAAGGGGCTGGACACTGACCCATTAGCAAGAATGAGTAACACATGACATTTCATTGGCACAAAATGGGTCTTTTTTCATCCTTCCAAATATTATACGCTTTAATAAACATGATTTGTAAATATCAAAAACAAAATGAAAAAAGGATAAGCAGGTTAGTGTACGTTTTAGAGACTTTGGTAACCTTGGGACTTCTACTTGATGAGTGACTACATCCCTGGGACGTCCAAAGCAAATGGCAGTTTGAAAATACTTCTGTAATAAAGAGTCCCTCTTTAAGTTGGAAAGCTGTAAAGGCTGCATCACTTCCCAGCGTTAGGAAATTAGGAATGGGGAATGAGAAGTGAAATGTCTGCAACAAAACGGCTACCCTAGGGAACTAGACAGAAGTACAGCTGGTTACCCATTTCCTATGAATGAATCTGACTTCAACCAGTAGCAATATCTTTCAGAGGTATACAGTATATTTTTCCCCAAACCCCATTGCAAAGGCATCTATGAGACAGAGCAGCTTAATAAACCCAAGAAATAACCTTGTAATGAAATGTTTTTTTAATGGCATCATATCAAAAATTAAACCTGGATCGTTGCAGACCTGAAGCATGGCCAGGACTACTTTTGTTTTCCTTCAATTTGTGATTCTCTCTGAAAATGCAAACATGTTGAATCACTTCATACCAATTCAGGTGAACCTTGTAAAAGGGTCACTGAACCTTTATAAGGGCCACTGAGAGAATCATCAAGACCCTTATTAGCAGAAGTAATTTGAGCAGAGGAAATGTGCTGATATATTAGGGGTCAGGGTAAGTGGTCCATCCACATCCAAATGGGTCAAATGAGGGATTATAGTAAGGGGGAACCTGGGGTTGCAATATAACCATTGAAGGACACACATTTCAAAAACGTTTGGGTCCCCATGGAGATGATCTCGCATTAGTCACAGGTGCACCAAAACTGGGGAATTCCTCAGAACTGCTCATATCGGGGGCCTAAAACCAGAAAAAACAAGCAACAACAGGTTTAATTACATTATTAGAATTATGCATAAAATTCATGACCGATTACAATTTTCCAGCACCGTATATGGCACTGAACACACAGCATTAGTTTACCTTTTCATTGCCAATGGCCCAAGGAGCCTCCCGCACAACAAAGCCCTTGGATGGGCCTCGTGGTTCTTCCATGCCGGAGGCAGTGGAACCAGAAGGCTTCATATAGGCCATTTTGGCTTCATTTTCAACCATGTCACCCATCTGAGGGCAAAGATGAAAAATTACCTTTTTGTCAATTTAATAATAATTATTTAATTTTAATTTCTTCTGCCAAAGTATAGCATGTTCTTACATATTCCTCCTCCAGGTTTAGAAGGTGATCAATGGCTTCGTCAACCTGTTCTGGACGGCCAGTCACAGTCACTAAATTGGGATCTGCAGCTCCACTCTGAGGGAATCGAACATCAACCTGAAAAAGGTAAAACACAATTTTAACAACTGTCTGTATAATTTATGAAATTTTTTTTAAAGGGGTGGTTGATTGCGATTTCACTTTTTTAACGTTAGTTAGTGTGCAATGTTGCTGTTGGAGCATAAACAATATCTGCAAAGTTACGAAGCTGAAAGTTCAATACAAACGGAGATGTAGTCTTTTAAAATTCTGGCAGTTTAATGAATGCAAAAACGGCTGGTAGGGACTACAACAAGTTACTTCCCAGGTTCGTGACATCACAAACCCAGATAAACCCCGCCCTCGGGAAAAGGCAGCAAAGGGGGCGAGGCCATGCTGCGCTGCTTTAGAGAAGAGGAAGAGAAAACTAGAGGTGCACGTAAAAATCTATTCATATATGAATCTCGATTCTGTCTTCTAACGATTCTAATGGATTCACAAGTTTCAAAATCAATGTTCAAAAGCAGTGGTTCTTAATACGTTTCCTCGCGTCCCTGCTCTGCATCTCTCCCTCTCTCATTCAGCTCATCTCCAGCAATGAACTGATACAATTATACACTTATTTTCACATAGCTATGACAAGCCAACCCTCTACATTGCGAGTAAATCACTCGCATATGCGACTAAATCTTTACTCTGGGCGACTAAATGATGTCTAATATTAGCCAATTGCTAATACATTCTCAGATTTTATTCGCCAGTGTGTGAGTTGGAGGCTAAGCATATGATTAGCACAGATATATTTTCACTCGCCGAACACTCTCTGAGAGCGCTTCAGAGTTTCACTCCGTTAAAACATGGACACTAGTGCGGTTGCCGTACTGTATTAGGCCTGTCGCGATTATTAAATAACCGTCTAATAGCGATTATTTGATCTAACCGCGGTTGTTTCAGACAACCGCGATTATGGTCGCACGAGCACATGATTTGGTCGCAATATTTTTACTTTATTTTTATTTTTTTGCGCTACAACATGGGATTATTCAATACATGCTGATGAACTTTTATCATAGTTTATAGTTATATGGAAACTAAAGTTGTTAACATTCAACCCGTTCTTTATCATCAGTAGTATTATTTGTGATTTAAATTTTGTGAATGGCAGTTTCTCTTATGCTGTGTTAAGCCGCGGGCTTCGGATGCTTTCACTTTCGAATTCGCGATCTTGTTGTCACTGTTTTGCTTAAATACATCTACACACCCGTTTTTTTAAGACTAAAAACAAAAGAAAAGTAAAACTAACGGTGACAGTGCTTGCGTGTTTTTTTCCCCACAAGAATAACCAGCATGTTCACCTTCTCTGGTTTAAGAAGCGGTCTTTTACTTGACTTTTGCTTGAAAACCATCCATCGTTTCCTCAATATGCGCGTCATTTTTGCTGCGCGCACGTATTCGGCCAATCACAATGCACTGGATAGCTGGCCAATCAGAGCACACCTCGCTTTTCAGACCGATGAGCTTTGTAAAAATCGACACGTTTCAGAAAGGCGGGGCATAGAGGAGAAACAATAATGTACAGTATGTGGAAAATAATGTGTTTTTTTAACCTTAAACTGCATAAACACATTTCATGACACCAAATACACAAAATAATGTTCTTTTTAGCAACATCATATGACCCCTTTAAACAGAGGAAGTCAAATACTTTGTATGAAATGAGTGATTGAAGATGTGACACCTTTACCATCTCACCTTAAACTCATCCATGATTTTGCGAATTCCCTTGCCACGTGCCCCTATTATGCGAGCATGGACTCTGCTGTCCAGGGTGATGTCCTCAGAGATCATTTCTTCCAGTTCATGCACTATAGCCTGAATAGCATCGCGTGCCGCCACAGCATTCTGCTCATAGCCAGTAATGGTAATCTGATCCTAGAAGACCAAATCAATTACAAAATAAATACAATTCTTGGTCATTTCCAAAAAAGGCATGTTTTTGAAGAAAAATAAGTTGTTTTTAGGCTCCAGCCTGTTACCTGGTTCTCATCATTTTTCTCTGGAAACTGAATGTTGACCTCATGCTCATTGCGGATTTGGGTGATTATGGCACCCTTGCGTCCAATGATCTTGGGGTGATACTTGGGATCCACAGTGATGGTCAGCTTGAAGCTCCTGAGAGCCTGCGGACAAAAATATACATTTAAAATATGTAATTCCCAGAATGTGTGATTACTAAGTGGAAATCATTTTGCATTTGTTTCATTTGCTATTCAGGCTACAAACTCACCCGATCCTCCTGTTCAGCCTGTAACTCTTTGACACGCTCAAGAAGACCCTCTTTAGCGCGGTCAAGGTGGGAGGCCAGGCCAGTAACGGAGATAATGTCAGACTGTAACTCATGAGCAGGCACTTGAATATTAACCTGGGGAGTAAAATATATTTGTCAGGACAGTAGCAAGAAAATACTGTTAAAATCTTTAGTTATAAATACAATGCATATCTCTAGCCATTTATATGACTTGACTCCTGATGTAGAAACAGATTTAGAATTCCACTGAAATCAGCTGTGAAGAGACTAACCTCAAACTCATCCATCATCTTGCGGATTCCACTTCCTTTCTGACCAATGATGTAGCGATGAAGCTCAAAAGGCACTTCCACCGCAATGGTTACAGGAACCAAATCCTAAAAGGACAAATATTTGTTATAGCATTTGACTAAAAGCACCAAGAACATGCAAACAAGAACTTCTGCATAGAAAAAAAATTTTACTTAAAAAATTTTCACCTTTAGCGCTTCAACAGCAGCTTCACATCTCTCTTTGCGGCCAGAGAGCACAATGACATCACACTTCTTTGGGACTAAAGGATCAGCAGGCTCCTTCACCTCTCCATTGGCCTCTCCATTCTCCTGAACTGGAGCATCAGCTGATGGAGCTGAGTAAAACAGACAGCTTGCAGATTATACATGTAATCATAGAGACATAAAGAGACAGAAAGGGGCCTCAGTAAATTTCAGATTAAGGCCTCTGCAAAACCCATAAATGTAAATGTTCAGAGTAGGGATGTCAACGATTAATCGATGATCGATTAATTGTCGATAAGAGATGCAATCGATTAAAGCTATCATGGTCGATTAAGTCGTTTAATTTTGGGCTGCGTGCGGCTCATGCGCAAAACACGTGCAAGCGGCTGTGAGTGACGGTGACGATATAAATGCATCATCATCATTCATTCATAATGTACAAATTAAGCTTTTAATGTGATTTAAACTTTAAAAGTACATTAAAATAGAAACAACACAAAGTTCTTCAACATGGAAAGCAATAGAAATGTAGTAACTAAGTCATTTCCCCAGATAATTCTTTCATATCGGGCTCTGCGCTTTGCAG